TCATCATCATCATCATCATCATCATCATCATCATCATCATCATCATCGACCGGCTTGTAGCACCAAGTGGTGGGAGTAGTGTTCGGCATGTTCTGGCATATTTTTGACACATCAATACGCGGTATATAATTATGAAGGCCTCCACTGGCTCGAACTGATTGATCATGAAATCTGTCGCCTGCTTTTCTACATTTGCCTTGAAAAATGATGTTTGCACATATATATACCAGCAGTCACAAGACGGGGTGCGATCCATGGAGGTTTAGGGTGCCCAGAACATCCACTCACTGGATGGGACTAAACACCACCCCTTTGTGACTCCTGTATTTTCTCCACGCATCCACGCCAGATGTGCATCACGCTCGCGTGGTTGCGTAGGCTTTTTGGGACGCTTCGCTTCGTCCGACCTAGCCACCGCCTAGTTCTATCCAGGTGGAGTGTCCTACACAGCAGCGCCCGGAAGCCAGCCCATCTATGTCCGCCAAACATGGGAGAGAAAACCCCATCCACGCCATAAGTATAGCATAAGTGGAGAAAAGCATATAGAGACGTCAAACAACGAAAAGAACAGCACATAGCATAGCGCCGGGCAAACCACCCTTTTACGTCCAGTGACGGACACCCAGTGATCGGCGAGACCTTTCGCGGCGGAAACCGTCGATCTGGCGCCGGAACGCTCCAGGAGCGAGTGAGGAAGGCTCAGGCGCTGGGGACGACGTGGGTTGGGCAACGCCAGGGATTTCGTCCAGCCCGACCGGTCCTTTCTATATTAAAGGGATAAGGATGCGATGGATAAGGTGAGAAACGCCCAGACCCGGATTCGGGGGTTTCTCAACCCCTGGATTTTTTTTAGCGTACGAAAACAACATCTGCAGCGATGCAGCTTCATTCACCCAACCACACGGATGCAGCTTCTTTCAGAAGCACCGCGGTCGCCAGCACCGTGGTCGCCAGGTCCGGTCGCCAAATCCATGTATCAGCCGTCGAACGCACGGTCGGTCAGGGTCCGATTTCCACGGGAGTCTGTGACTTGAATCAACTTTGCGAACCAATTCCGGATTGGTTGAATCGACTCTGAGAAAAACGGCCTCACATCTCGAGAGGTGACTTGTTCAACAATTGATTCCTTTTGGGATGTGACACTGGAGTGTTCGTGCTTCGGACGGTGTCACCCCCGAGTGGATCGAGCGAGCGAGCGACTCCCACCGCAGGCGGAACCCGTGAGGACGGCGGCATCTGCGTGGTGTGTGCGGCGCTGGTGCGTCGGTGGGCGTGTGTGGCGCTCCGGGAGGTGCAGGTCGAGTTTCTTTCAGACCAACGTGCGTTTGATCTTGGTGACCCCACCAGGATCCAGTTTTACCACCGAATGTCCTTGAACCGACCTCATCTGACTTTAATGCAGGATCCAAGATCCAAACCAGGACCGAAACCAAGCCCGGTGGTTTTTGGACGCCCCGAATCACCTTGTGGCGAGGCTATGGACATAGACACCTCGAACTCGAGGTCCGGTAGGTGGAAGTGATCGATCAGTTGAATACGGAACCGCCCAGTTGGAGCCTTTGAGCACCCGGACGTCCCGGGTTCAAAGCAGATCCTTCCGCAGAGCGGAGCCCGAACGTGGCTCGTCGGAGAACATGAAACAGAGATCAGATGAGAACACGCAACATACGAACATACGAACATTCCAGAACAGAAGACCCATTGAACATCCACCTACTTGAACTTCCCACTTCGGTGAAGGGTTCGTTTGTGTAGCGGGCTGCCAGCATGCTGGGCCCCGTGCTGGGTCTCATTGTCCGTCCAATTCTACAACCAAATCCTCTGTGCTTATTGCAGTAGGAGCGCAGTCGCGACTTGGTCGCTCTTTTCGTCCATCCACCCCTCCATCAGCACCTGGTTCCGGGGGGCCATGGCGGTTAACAAAGAAAGAACATTCGCTTTGGTTTCGCTCACAGTTTTCAGAGGAAATGACTTCAAATCACTATATACCAGGACCTTCCCAGTGACCTAACGAAAGAGATCCCAGTGGCGTGTCGGTCACAACTCCCAGGCCTTGTTTCAAGGTCACGTCTACCAGTCCTGAAGAGGTCACTGGGTGTCGGTCCAAGTATACCTGATCAATTCATCCAGATGTCCGTCGGTAGGAGATACGTTTTTGAGCACCAGACGACGGACATCTGGTGTCGGATAGGAACAGGGGTGGAAGGCGCCACAGGATCTTCTCTTTTTATTGCGAATGAACCACACTATCCTTCGCCTCTGTCATGACTGTCATGGGTCGTCGTTTTCTTGTTCCTGTTTCTTTCGCTTTTGTGTTGAACAGAATTCTGTTTTTTGCTACAATCCTTGTCCGAAGAACTGTGCTTCTTCCTTGTCGTGACCTTCCATGCACTATACAACACAATGAATAGAATGCAACATGTGCCACTTGCTAAAAGTCCAATCCGCACACAGACACACACACTCGCGTTACAATTCGGGAAAGGGTCTGCAAAACTTACCTGTCGCGGAGAAACACACACAATCACACATTGCATTGGTGTGGCAATTCCACGAAGCACCTTCAAAGGGGTCACCTGGCTGGAAGCCCCTACACTACTAAGGGACCTCCATTGGATACCCTTGAAGGTTCAGGCATAATTGTTCAATGCCTTGTAGAAATGGGACGAAATCACAGGCCTTATTTTCACCCGAGTGTTGTGCGCCGGGCCACGGGCCATTAAGAAGAAAACCCTCATTTGCGGATCACTGGTCACGCCAATGGTACAAGAGCGAGCATCCTTCGTTCGCCCCTGGGCCAGTGCTATTCCGCCTTGAAACCTCCGGACTCCTGAGAAGCCGATCCCTCTTGCTTGGACCCAACGCCCTCGCCCATGAAGCGAAGCCTGTGTTCGGTCGACCGCCTCTCCAGGAGCGAGGCGGAGAGATCTGTTGCGGTGAAGGCGGTGTGGCGATCCGATCGGTCGAGCTTCGGCCACCGGAGGCGAAGGGCTGTCGACGGACCCACGGGTGCCACTGGCGGCCCACTCAACCATGGTCGGCGAAGAATCAAATTTATTCAATATACCTAGCGCTTCCTGGCAAGTGAGCATCCTGTCTGGTGATCTAGAAGCAGTCAGTGTCGGGTTAATCCATGGTAATCCCGAACAGAAAGCAGCCCGTCGTCGATGTTCCCACCGGGAAACCGAACCCGTCGTGACCGCACCAAGCTCGGGGCCCTTTTGGAATGCGTGGCGCCACCGGAAAGGGCAGGAACCCCCACCGGAAAGCCTGCGGAGGTCAGTTCACCTGTTTAACTGCTTACATGGATCGCTTTTTCTGGTGAGAGATGGCCTCCACTTCTTCCCTTCCATTTCCAAGCTCAGTTCTCCAAGCGCCGTCGTTTTTGTTCCATCCCAGCGCGTCGGATCCTGAGGGCGGCAGCTTCGTCTGGCTTCGGGGAGAGCTGTTGGGCCGTGGCAGCTTGGGCTCTGTCTGGAAGGCGCGGGGGCCGCGTGGACTGCCGCATGCTGTGCTGCTGAGACATGCAGAGACAACGCGTGAAGAGGGACGAGAGGTACCAGTAGGTGGCTGCTGGTTGGTGGGAATTGTGGTTGTTCTTGTTCTTGTTCTTCTTCTTCTTCTTGTTGTTGTTGTTGTTGTTGTTTGTGGAATAGTGATTGTGAGTGTGAGTTGTTGTTTGTGGAATAGTGATTGTGAGTGTGAGTGGGGAAAGATGTGAAGATGTACTGTACTGTTATGTCTTGCAACAAAGATGTTGAGACGTAATCTTGCGAGCTATGACAGTTGAAGTGTGTAAACTCCTGCCAGTTGACTGCTGCAATAGCTGGTTCGGAGATGTTTCAAGGACATCTTTTGAAACCATGTGCATAACCAGGCCCAGGTTTGCCTGCCCGAGGATTTCCACTTGTAGTTTCAACACGCTGAGAATGAGCAACGCCCCTTGACCGCCGTGTGCTTTTATGACCATAGACCTGATATAGAGTGTCTCATATGGGGCTCCAATTGATTGGAGTAACACAGTTTTTCACGGAATCCAATATGACACGCTAATGTGATTTGATTAATAAAGGACCCTAATATGATATGGCTTTACATCTCCATATGGGTGGCTTTATTAATCAACAGTCTACATAACGGAAATTGCTTTCATGAGCCCATTAGCTTGGTAGTTGGAATCTTGGAAGGGATCAGATCACGTCACTGCCTGTTGATGATGTTTGATTTTTTGGTTCCCCCACATAAGCGCAGAAATCAAAGTGGAAAACCACCTGCTTCTAGAGGAACATCGTCATCCAACAGGCCATGCCATCCACTTCCATGATCACTTCAGTGAGCGTAACTGCGAATTCCAGTAATTCCCCTGTAGGCAAGATTAGGCAAGGTAGCAAGGGAGCAACCAGCAAGGCCTTGCTGGCTCGTTGTCGTTGTCGTTGTCGTTGTCGTTGTCGTTGTGGTTGTGGTTGTGGTTGTGGTTGTGGTTGTGGTTGTTGTTGTTGTTGTTCTTGTTCTTGTTCTTGTTGGTTGTTGGTTGTTGTTGTTGTTAACTAAATTTGTGCACCACCTGACACCGAAACCCGACTGACCGGCTGATGCATTCTCAATTTGTGTTTATATTTAACTAATATATATAATAGTTATATCATAAATAATATGAATTCATGTATAATGATGCATTCATATATTTTATATATTTATATGTGTGATCTATGTTTAAAGTACAATGATATAGTGACAATATGTTATAGTAATTCTACTTGCATCTACCTGGACCTTCCAAGCGGTGTCCAATGCCTCTGAGAAGCTTTTGGAGATGGAGATCCCTTGCTAATTTCCATGACACTGGCTTTAAGCCATGGCAATAACGTGTTTTCTTTCGTGGGTTTGGTGGGTGAATGAACTGTTTATCTTGCTTGTCATCCAGCAGTCACGTTCGACGGGGTGCTATCCATGGAGGTCAGGGGCCCCGACCATCACATCCACGGCCCCTGGATAGGACGAACCAAACCAGCCCGAGCGACATGTGACTCCTGAGAGAGTCCTTTCATATCGGACATCGTTTCCTATCCCCAGACACTCCATGTCTTTCATATATGCCTACATTGACCCTCACACCACCCCAACTGATCGGCAAATATACCAGTCCCATGGAGTATAATGAGGATCTATTTGGGGCCCACTATAATGAGGATCGACTCCTAGATATTGTTCCTAGGGCTGTCATTTCCATGGCTTATTTCTTCGCTTCACGTGGCCAGGGCACCAACCGGCAGACAGGGCAGACCATGGCTGTCAAGGTGGGAAGACTCCGGTCACCGGGTGGGCGGGCATGACTGACCCCGAGCCCTAAGCCTTAGGTGTTTGGCACCTGAGGAACCCTCAGGATCCCGTGGTTCTTCTTTTGGTGTGAAAAAACAGTAAAAACCACGGGTTTTTGAGTCATGTTTTCTTTTTTTTGCACTACACATGAACACCGAGGCCCCCCGCGTGAGATCGATCAAACATCCCATGCACAAGTTGCGAGTTTGCAACGCGCGTGCCGCGTGTTGCACCCACGGAAGGGGCTCATCGTCGGGGGCCCTTGGGATGGTGCCGCGGCGCGAACACCCACGGAAGACTTAAGAATGTCTAACTCGGGAATTGGCTCGTGGGTACCAAAAGTCATTGGTGAGAAAAAGAAGGGTGGGAACACACACGCATCAAAAGAACACCCACTGAGTGAGTCTATACTTCAATGGAAGGGACGCTAGGCTCACATTGATCGTCCGCAATGCTTAACATCTGGAAACGGATGGTGACTCTTGCAAGAAAAAGCTCGTACTTGCTTTCTCCAGACATCGATTTGGCGGCCAATGTCATGGCTGTTTCGGAATTTCCCCACTCTTGTTCCCGACCATTTCGAGATAACTACCGAAATAGCAAACCTGGGGGGGGAAAAAGGCTGAGAGGGCTCCAAAGCTCGCTTTGGGCGCCGGTCGGCCCCCTCGTCGCGTCGCCGTCGACCACCAGCCTAAGATCACAGCAACTAGACTGGTTCTTCCATGGCATACTGTTCAAAAAGCCTTCCAATGAACATAGGAGTCAAACAGCCTTTCCAACAACAGCCTTTAGAACATATAGTTCTTCCATGTTCTTCCGTCATTTCCAAGATCCGTTCTAGCCTAATATCTAGAACGGGTTGGGTCGCGGTTCGTTCCGTACAAGGCTGGTTGGGTCCATTCAATGGTGCTTGGAATCGGGGAATGATGGGACATCTTGGTTTTAGGCCGTGCCTCTCTTCAAGAGTGGGGTGGACCGCAAGCTATGGGGTTTTCACTAACTTGAGGGGATCGAGTCACGAGTTCACCAACGGGACCATTCCTGCAAAATAAGTGGGGTCCAGAAGAGATATAGGAGACATGTATTTCCATCTTCTTTCCGGTTTCCAAAGCAGACTATAGACGCTATAGAGTCGAGGGGCTTTCGACCTTCCCCCGGGACAACATGCGCTCGGCGTGTGCAACACGCTTCCAACCTCAAAAACTCCTTTCGCTGAAAGCAAGACGTGACTTAAGTCAGGTGAGTGCAAGGCACGATGAGAACTTGATGCGTGGGTTGTTGACAAGCCAAGACTGGAGCTGTTCTGTACCGGTACAGACTGGGAGGACCTAGAGGATCTGGGTAATTACGAACTGCACCAAAAGTGTTCCCCCCGCCGTCCGACGACCGTCACGGTCGATGTCAGGAGGTCATCATCGATAACCTTGATGATTCCGACAAAGACTTCTCTCAGTCGCTGCAGGTGACGCTTGATGCTGTCAGCATACGCATATGTTGTTTTTCCCCGCATCGTTCACACAGGGACCGTATTTCTATAAAGGCCCAAAAAGAACATATATATGTCGATCTAGACTCTTTCCTTCGCTGTGATTGCTTTTCGATGACGCGACTCGATTTGTGTGTCTTTTTTTGGGGTGGGGATGTCTATTTGGCGCACATCCTGATCATTTCAGGAAGGATGATGCAGAGGGAAGCGGAGGTGGTTGTTTTTTTGTTGAAGGACAACTGCATGGATAACTGTCTTTGTTAGGTCCGCAATTATTGCAACAGCTGTTTTTTTTCTCCCAAATCAAACCATTACTCTTTCCAAAAGGGCAGATGTTCACAATTTCACGAATAAGGGCTAGCTATAGTGAACGCGCCCTGACACTGGCAAGCCCAGTGCAATCATTATAACGTTTTGGGCTTTGCCGCTGCTGGCCTCGAACCTGAATAGAACCTTTTCGCCAGCTGGCGCTGACCTTCACCGGTCTCCTCCTCACTAAAAATATATAGAGCCTTTTTGACGAGTGCAGAGTGGTTAACCATTGCAGGTGTCGTCATGTTTGCTTTTCACGACATGTTGTTCCTTCCTTCTCAGCCGCTCCTCGCTGCTTCTCGCGACCCTTTTCACGGACCTGACCTACACCGCGGGAGTCTCTTTCCCGAGGTCAGACGTGTTTGGTCAAAGTGCCTCCACAGATCCCCCTGACTAAGTACTCCAAGATGTGGAAGTGCATGTGTTGTGGAAGTGCATGGTGCGTCCCAGCTTGGCGATCAATTTTTGGACGTGGCCATGTTTGTTGACAGAATCTGATGTGCAAGGGCCCTTGTGAACTATGACTATGACCCTTGAATCATTGACACCCAAGAGAAAAGCAACCATGAAAAGTAGAGAACCATCAGGACCATCATAATAATAGTAAACGCATTGGATCAGGCAGTGCAGTTTAATCAAAGATATCGCAATTCCAGATCCGCCTTGCCGCGATTGAAAGGACCATTTCAGGAAAAAGCTTGGCTGGCGATATGTTCGAGACACCCGGTGGCCCAGCGAGCCTGAACATGAGGTGCCCATTCCACAAGACCGAACAGCTGAAAAACGCCGTGGCAAGCCCGGGGTGCCTTTGGGACCCAGGACTGACCTTCTGAGCGGTTGCAGGCATCTGTGAGTCGGTTGGGGCTCGACTTGGTTGGCGTGGGCTGGAGGACATGCACGCATCGCGTGCGAGTTAGGTGACGCTGTGCTGGAGCGTCCACGTTCGGGCTGCGCCGGTGTCCGCAATTCGTTTTGAGAGGCGGGCTGCAAATTTAAGATGCGACAGGCGGCCAGCACTGATTTGGAAACAAGCCTTGGCTAGAATAGCCAGTTGTCGCCACAACACTTTGGTTGTCAACAAACCAACACAAGTCAAAAGTGCAACTCTAGTGACTCTACTCATGTGTCAAGAAGTCTTTTACACCTCTCCTCAGCAAAGCCGTGCTTCTTCTCCAATAACCTTGAGGTTCTTTGTTGGCTGCTCTAGAAATTAGGTAAGACCCTGCCTTGAAACTCGATCCTGTACCCATGAGCTAGAATTCTGCTGACCTGACTGACCTTAGAGGTTTGTACAATAGACATGTCTTGATAACCCAGAAGTTTTGGACACGTGTCAACTACGTAGAGAACAATCTGTGGAGAACCCAAGCTTGTAGTTTTGCTAGTTGTTTTTGTTGATTGATAGCTTTTGGTCCGGGAGGTTGTGGTACCTGTAGATTATAATGGTTTCAGAGTCGAACTAGTCTAACCGACAGGAGCAAGCGTGAACCAAGAGACCTAAACCTAGAATATAATGGCTCCCAGACTCAACGCATACTCCAGGACTGTGTCATGTTGCCGCAACTTTGGGATAGCATGTGCCTAAAGATGCCCCAATTGAAATACCTGGAGCAGCTGGCTAGAGGTCGCAGGCTCTCGTTCTAACGGGTGCACGCTGGATCTTGCCCTGCAGTAAACGAGCAAAAACGGCAAATCCGCAAGGTTGTGAGTAAATGTCCCGGGGGTGAAAGCCAAGAGAGACAGGGCTGACATGTGACAGCGTGGTATTCTCACCCAGCACTTGTTTGATGCCCTTGGTGTTGAATTTTGGCCGACATGCCCGCACCGCGAGGTCGAGATTGACCTGTACAAGCAGTTGCAACATCCCAATATCGTGTCCTACCTCGGGAATGACCGGATCAAAGATCGTTTCTACATTTATTTGGAATATATGCAAGGACTGGCAGAAGGGAGATGGCCAATTTCAAGAGGATGAACCATGTTTTGGTGAAAGGTGCGCTGTAGGCAGGCACCCCCCCTGTTTGGGTGGAGGCACCATGAATGGAGGGATCCATTACAATGTCAGGTTGGTTATTCCATGCTATCCCCAAAGTCGTGTGCGTCGTGTTTTTGCACTTGCTTGGCACTTGGTCGGTGCGGAAACTTGTTTTTTGTGTTCAGTCATGCGGTTGTGGCATGAAACTGTTGGCGAATCAATCAATGAATAATGTCGACTGTGCAGAGTTGCATAAGTTCACTTTGGGGTATTCAGGGCAGAGGTTCCACAGCCTTTTGTTAAGACATTGTTCATCTAGCAACATCCCTTTTTTGGGGGGAACTTGCCAACCAGACATTTTCACAAAGCAGTTCAACAATTCACCGGTTTCCTGTTGCAAAAGTCCCATGGAGAGAACAACAACACCGGAATTTGCAACATTTCAAGATGGGGGAGACGGCTTGGAAAGCTCTGACTGGATGATCCTACCCTCCCAAGCTGAGCTCCCGTCCTCGAAGCAACTAGGGTTGGTTTGTTTTGATGCGCTGTCTCGGGGGTGTTTGCCCAAGGAACCCGTTGCTGCCAAGGAACCCTCCTGAAACGGCTCGACGATTCCTCGGGAGCGGAATGCCAGGAGGGTCAGTGTCACAGGTTCTACACAGGGAGGGACCTATGAGTGAACCGCTGATCGCTTGCTATGCCCAGCAGCTACTTCAGGCAGCCGAACCTCCGTCGAACCCGAAACGGTGCGGCGAGTGCGGCGACGGGGCACGGTGGGTTTTGGGCCTGGAAATGCGGGCGACGGCGGCAGCTGGTTCTTGCCACATGTACCGGTCGGGTTCACCGTGAGCCACGTGGCTAGTGACATGGACACCACCCATGGTAAGGCAGGTGGAAGGGTCGATCAAGATCATTTAAGATCCCTTTCCAGCCACCACTGGGGGAAACATGTCTTTACATTCACAAACACAATGCCCATATCAAGGTGTGTCAAGTGATCCAAATCGGTTGGTAGATTGGGCCACTTCAAAAGACCCTAAAAGACCCTTTTCAAAACGCTGTAAGTATTCAATGACCTCGCCTCCTGATCAGTTCGTCTTTCAGCGCGTTTTTCAGCGCTCCTCATTTCGTTGTTATCCTTGCGGCACATTGGGATGGGAAACCCGCAGCAGACCCATCCCGTTGAGAAAACCGCTCCCGGACCATGGGATGTTTCACCATTTACCAATCAAATCCAATGAAAAACCATGGTAAATGATGAAAGATCCCAATGATTTTCCCTATAAATCCCATCCCAGATTGGGTGGTTGGTTTCAGTGGTCGGCCCAACCACGCCCCGTCCCAGACCCGAAGTCACCGGGACCCAGAGACCCAGAGACCGACCCAGCGTCGGAGGGTTCACAGGTTTCATGGCGCTGGGTGTCGACGGAGAAGGTTCTATCAAACCTCCTGGGAGCTGAGGCAAGCTGAGAAGGAAGCAATGACATGTTCCTTCAGCAACGGTCTCCAATTACCCTGCATGATGCTCTATATTAGGTGCTTATAAGGGTGGGTCCCAACGGGGGTCTGTGTCCACCGAACTGAAAAGCATGAGGATACAAGCCAGAAACGCCTATGGGCGCTGCTATGTCCCTGGGATCCAGTCGTACCGAACCTCAGGTACGGTGAAGAAGGAGACACCAAGAGACGTAGGTGCCAAAACGTCGGGTTCGGTACGATTGGATCCCAGGTGTTTGACCCACATGTTTGACCCCGCTAAGGTTCCTGGCCCTGGCCGGTTCGAAACCCCACGCCAGGGCTTGAATTACCTCCACACGCGGGAGCCTCTCATTTTGCACCGAGACATCAAAGGCGGCAACATCCTGGTGGGTGAGAAGAGGCCCGGCCAGCTGCGGTTCTTCGACTAATTAATGGGACTGGAGTATATGCCTACATTGACCCCCCAAACCACCCCAACGTAGGCATATATGGCATACATGGAGCATCTGGGATTGGTTGATCAATAGACGATACATGAGGATACCCCCAAGTGTACCTCCCTCATTCTTCATCCCAGTCGTTTTCGGACCTGCACCCACTCGGGCGCTGACACCGTTGGACATCCACCCCGGTGGCGATCCAACCCAGAGCGGCGGCGACATTGAATGACACCAGATGAGAAAAGCAGCGGATTTCTCCCTGGATGTTCATCCTTGACCTTGTCCCACTTCAAAAAGCATGAATTGCAGACTCTTGATTGATTGCACCCCCCCCAAGCAAATTCAGGTCCAATTCACCTGAGGTGCATGGGGTCAAGCATATGATCAAGAGATCTTCGCCCTGCGCACGGTCCCTGCCTCTCCCACTCCCACCTCTCCTCCGTCACCCAGGACGGTGAAACTCGCGGACTTCGGCTGTTCGAAGCGTTCGGAAGAGACCTGCCTCGAGCTGAGCAGGTGTTCTGAATGGGGGGTCCGGACGGTGAGCGGTTAGAACGGGGGACGAAAAAGGGGCTCCACTGGCATGGCTTCTTGGGCCGGGGGGGGCAGGGGGTAAATCAAATGTATAACATAATTACCAGCTTCTTCAAAGTGACCGTTTGAAGGTTCCTAAGTGACCCTTAGGAGGCTTAAGTGACCTCAAACCAGATTATCAAAAGGTCACTTTGAAGAACCAGGTATACGGGATGTATATATAGTATAATCTATAGAGGGATCTTCGAAGCTACAACTGGATCCCTACAGGCGATCGATCGATCCTCACTCAGTCACCGACCTCGGGGTCATCGAAACTCGCCATCGCCGAGGTCAACATACACTGAGGGGTTCGATCCCTTGGATGGCACCGGAGGCGGATCCGCGGCACTCGCGCGCTTAGCGCCGACCGCCCCGGACCCTTTCCCGCCGCACCGGGTGCGGCTTGGCCCACCGGCTCGGCCATGGTGGTGCTGAGCCATGGTGCTGAGCCATGGTGGGAACGCCAAGAACATGAAGTTTAACAAAGATGAACAAAGTCATGTTTGAACAGATGCTTCGATTTCGGAGTGTTTTTTAGCTGGTGGGAGCGTGACCATCCCGAAAATGGATCCTGGCCGAAATGGAAAGTTAGATCAACAAGATCCACAGTGCTGGTCTTAAAATCCAAGATTGGAAGGTGCCAAACATTGGAAGTCAAGTTCACCTGCTTCCTCCACCCTCCAGCTTCGCACCGCTTTTGGCCCCACCCTCCCCGCGGCTCGCTTCGCGAAGCGGGCCCGGCCCACGGCACCGCAGCGCGATGACGTCCTTCCTTCTTCCGTCAGGTCATGAACGAGCGCGCCTATGGGCGTAAAGCCGATGTCTGGAGCTTGGGTTGCGTCTTCATCGAGATGGTCACCGCCCAGCCGTGCCTTGGCGGTTCGGTGGGTGGAGAAGGAAGGTGAAGAAAGAAGGACCGGAAGGAATTGGAGGATGATGTAAGAAGGTGGAGGAATGCAGGGCTGTTTACATGACTTGAATATACTTGAATTACTTGCATCATCCCTAGCCAAAGGACCTGACCAGTGACGGCCAATGACGCATAGTGACTAGTGGGTCACTAGTCCGTCTCCCAGCAGCCTGGCCTGGACACGTTTCGATTGGAGCATGTCACCGTCTCTTCGAGGATGCTTGGGCTCCGAAACAGAAAGCTGTTGGTTTGTGGCGAACGATACCAGGTTCGAACGAGACCTTCTTGGTGGGTAAAATCCCGAGGAGAACCAGCAAACAAGTCTGTCGGCAGGAGCAGACTATTGGGTGGTGTCTCACATCCAAATCTGCAATTCAAACGGAAGAATACGATAGAATAAGAAGGTCTAACATGTTAAAACACTCTTAGAGTTCCACCATATCCCCCAAAAAAAGGATCTGCTGCATTTTGCTGTTCGTCTTCATGCTTTCTTTGTCAGCTGCTGTCCGTAGGCCTTGGGGTCCCATGAGCAATCCCTTGGCCACGATGGCACCTTGGGCGGCGAACGCGGCGGATCCTGTCTGGAGATGGGTTTTCTTTTTAAAGAACACGACAATCATCCTGGAACCATGGGATCCAATGGAAGACCATGAGTTTTCTTTTAAAGAACAGCTATATAAGTATATACCTGGAACCATCCGAGCATCCTCTTTGGGTCTCCTGTCTGGAGATCCCTACTAGTAAGGAGCGGGAGGGTATAGTCCAGCCAGGTGACCCAGATGGTCGGATGGTCCTGGTTTTTCTGCTGCATGTATAGAACATGTGATAACATGTGCATATGTTATTTTTTGTTGTGTGGTGTGTTCAGACAGGTCTTTAAGATGAGCACAGGGAGAATCCGTTTTCCAACATCCTCCTTCTATTCTTGAGGTTTTTCAGATTCTTTTTGGCAGGGTTTTCTGTGTGCAGTAGATCGTGCTTTAGTTCACCTATAATCCAGATGTGAGTAGGGTGACCGACCCCAAGACGAATAGATTCACCAAAAGTGGTGTGTGGATTTTTTCACCTGCCCAGACACTCCACCCCAAAGGAACATAAATATGCGTAGACATGCGTATCCCCTTTCTTAACCACCCCAGGGATGTGTGTAAATAAGACCTGCAGTCCTGGTGTGTTTGGGCAATGGACCTCGGGCCGAAGCAAGAGAACGAGGTCCGCCCCACCCGACCCGTGGAGGAGGACAAAATGGACCGTGCGAGGGGTTCGCATGCATTGCGAAAAGTGCAGCGCAGTTCCACCCAAAAGCACGAAAGACCTTAAGGGCAACCTCTATCAAGAACCAACAAAAATGGTCATGGTCGGCCCCCCGTGGCCCTCCAACCAGGGCTTCCAGGATGGAGCTGACCGTTTTTTTGGTCAAATTCTCATGGCATGCAGCATTTGGGTGGTTGGTTATTTGTTCTCATTTCCCCACGAACTCTAAGCAGATGGACCATGGTTTTCCTTGATCTTCCAGGGAAATGGCTCGGTAAAACATTAGAGCTGGAAGCTTGGAGTTCTTTCTAAACTTTCACCTGTGGACGTTGCAGAAGTTGTCGCTTTCCGCGCCGCAGAAGAAAGTGCCTTCCCGTGATGTGACACTCCCAAAAGGGAGATTCCGTGGGGATCGCGGATGTGAAAGGCTCCTGGAAGCACCCCTAAGGGGCAGTTTCTCGAAGTGAATGAAGTGGATGAAGTGGCACATGATCATCACATTTCTGGTGGCAGACGCTTGTGAGGTAGTCGCCTTTGGGGGGCCATCGAATTTCATTGGAAGTTGCTGGGGTTGCGCTGCTGATTTTAGGCTTCCTTGGGATGATCTTCTCAACTTATGTGCTTCACATGCCTCAAAGATGCTTGCCCTTAAGACCCACGGATGAGGAGCTCTTCTCCCCGGCAATTCTGGGAGATGGAGAAGCGCTCCATACAGCGGTGGGTCAAAACATGTGGTGTGTCAACTTGGAGGATCTTCGTCAGCTGCGGCGCCTGGTGATGCACGCAGTGGCGCGTGGCACGGTTCGACCCACCGATCGAGACTCGATCGCATTCGACTGGTTTCGGAGTGACGTTTTGGATGTTTTGCCTCGATTCGCTTTTAGCTGCTTTTGGATACTTGAAAAAAACTTTTTGGGTGGCACCCTAATGCACGCCTTGGGATGCCTTGGGCTCCAACTACCTCACTGGGAGGGTCCGTCGGTCTACACCCAGGAGATCCATTTGACTTGAAGGACTATGCGATTGGTCCGTCGGTTTACACGGTGACCGAGCAGTTTCTGAAGCCAATCACCGGTCAGGCCGGGCAGATGAGCTGGGCCCTGATGAAACATGCAGCTCGATGACAGATCGAGTGCTGACTCAACACGGATCGAAGTGCTGACTCATGCATGAACATCGATCGCATATAGGTTATATATATAACTATTATATACATAGGCGGTGTTTGAACAGATGAGATTGACAAAGAGCAGGGTCCATCCACCATGGAGATGTTTTTGTCCGCTAAGTGTAGTCGTTGTGCTTGTTTTTTTTGTCGCATGAGGGGTGGCTCTTGGAGCTTTCATCCAAGGCAGATGGCTTGCCATGCGATCTCTTTGTGACACATGCCTGGGCCGAAGGTATCTATGAGCTCATCGCTCGCGTGGAGCATTCTTGGCCGAGGGGTATGCGGGGTGCATACATTTGCTTCCTGTCCAACCCGCAAAATCTCAACATTGAAGCCTTGATTGCAAGCCCAAGGGAGTCGCCCTTTGCACTGGCTCTTCAATCAGCTTCACTTCTACTTGTTTGTCCGAATGACGCTCGGTCCGAACATCGAGACGCAGGACACGGACAGAACGTAGACGTGAACGGTATACGTGAAGACCGAGAGTCTCAGTGTGTACCTCCGGAAAATGGGTATAATGATATACAATAATGGTATACATATTATATATAGATCTTAATGGTGATAAATATAGTATTTGGCTTTTATTACTATATTACTGTATGGGGTTATGTCCTGATTCTCTATAAGGTATACTTTGGAGGGTCAAGGCATCCGTGAAGATGAAACAACGCACAAACGGCGGACATGGAAGGAACACCGCAGCATCTACACGCGGCTTTGGTGCGTCTATGAAGCTTTTCTCGCCTACTCTTGGCAGAAGGAGATTCGCACGGCGACCAAATACCACGAAGGTTTCTATTGCTTGTTGATGCGCTGGTCTTTTTGGCAGCTCGGCTGATCAGATCCGGCCGAGCAATCTTCGCTTCGTCTCGGCCTTAAAAAATACGTTGGTTGTGGTTCCCCCCCCAAAAAGGATCCGAACCCCTGCGGTGCACATGCACTTGATTTTTCCAATTTCGAAGGATGCCTTTTTTTGGTTGCTCTGCCTCCAACGATGCAAGTGAATTCACAATTGAACATGTTTGTTGATCTTAGTCTTTTCAAGGTGCCACCATCCACCAAACCCATGATTGGAGGGGGTTTTTCTATAGGCAGAAACAGCCTTTGGCAAAAAGAGCCTGAGAGATCGATTGGGCGTGTGTAGCATACCTGCGCTGCGCGCATCGATGGTGGGTTCTTTGATGATGTCTTCGTGTTCTTCCGGAGGGAAGGTCGCATTGAAGTTGGTGTCCCAACTGTGGTTTGTTCCAAGTTAGGACACTTTTGGGATGAATACATAGGCTTTCCCCAGGGGAGGAGAACCTCCATGCCCTGTGCCACAAAGCCTAGGGCTTCAAGAGGCGCACGGCAGGTGAAGGAGTTACGATGTTGATGTGCCGCCCTGCACCACCTAAACTTGCTGGATGTCGAATGGTGAAGCATCATGAAGCATCTCCGTTTTTTTTTTGCACATGCGTGTGGGTGGTCATTGGGGCGCGAGCTCGAAGTGTGTAGATCTCGGTGGTGGACGTGGCATCTGCCGGTTTGATGCTGCTGCTGCAGTGCCAGGTTCAGGAAGCCGTCTTTTCCACGGTCGGCTTCCTGATCCCTGTCTGACGCTTTTCTGTTGAACATGAAGATCCGCTTTGCCGCGTTTTTTCTATATACCAGGACCTTCCCAGTGACCTTTTGAGATCTCAGAATGAGGCCACTTAGGCCTTGAAAAGGTCACTTATCAATTCTGAAGAGGTCACTGGGAAGGTCCTGGTAGCTATTTATTTTAAAAAAAAAGAACCAGTCTTTTCTGTCATGAAGTCCCAAGCACCCTGATTACACACCGACATCTTTGCACTCGGAGGGTCTGGGCATGAAAGAGAAAGACTCTCTTCAAACGACCAACTGCCAACGACCTAGAGGTACTTCAGGTTTGCTTGCAATTTCGCGTGCATCCCTCATACCTGCATCGCTGAAGCAGCTTTCCGTGGCAGTTTTTGCTGCAACTCTGAGCATGTACACCGTGGAAATGTGGGTCTCCGAGCAGTTCATGGGGCTCCTTCTTTGGTGACACGGATGGGAGCGCCAGCAAAGCCTTTTGAACTTTGTCGCTTGTTGCTTCGGTTCTATAGCGTAGTAATGTGTAGTATCATGATCAGTAGTCGCTCTATAGGCTATATAGATATACTCTATATTCCGATACTATGGAAACACCCAGCTTGCAGCACCATGCACTCCCGCTTCGCTCTTGCGGTCATGTCATGAAATCAACCGAAACACAGCCCGCACTGGCCGAAACACGGCACCCCCACATCTCAGGGTCGTCATTTTGCCGCCGATCATTTCATAGCGACCAATGTCATTGGAATTCATAACTGTAAATATTTTGTCAGTAAGGCAATTTCCTTACATTTGGGTCTCACACCATTACATTCGAGTGCTATAGATGTGGTTTTGTTGAGTTGATCAGGACACTTCACACTTGAAGCGACGACACTTTTCCTTCCTTTCAGCAATTGCTTCAAAGTCCGGGTGAGAGGGACAGAAGATGACAGAAGGGACCACTCAGAATCTTTGCCCGGCCTGGCAGTCACGCTGCACACTGCCACACAGAATAAAACAAATCTTCAAGCCCTCAATGTTCAAGGAACATTCAGCACCGTTAGTGCAATAAGTGGCTCACCTTTTTTACCCTATGGCACCGTTATAGGGACAGCTTTCTGAAGAAGAGTTGTTCTTCTAGCTTTGTCACCTTCAACTGCCAATCCTTCACATCATCAGTTTTCAACCGAAGTGCTCTCTCCAGTTCTCGGACTTGCTCACCTTAGAGTTGATTGGAGTAAGTTGAAAGTCAACCCAACCCTGAAAGAGAGTACGTGAACATAGTCACAAGTCACGTAGGCGAGTTACGAGCACATGAAAGTAGTTCAATTGACAAGTTACGTAACTCATAGATTTGGTGAACATAGGTTTCTTCCATCTTGTAGCATAGATGGCAGGACCTTCCCCCAAGCTTCAAATCACCCCTTGAAGCTGCTTCGCTGGAATTATCATCGTTGACATCTGGCAAAGGTAGAGCTGGGTGTTCCTCCTTGTCCTTCATACCTTTGCTCCTATTGCGATGGCGTTTTGGTCCTTGGAAAATCTTGGAAACACTGAGTAACACATAGCACCTCACAATGGTTTTCATCAAGTATGTTTGCAATTTTGCTTTTGCTGATGCTGCTGATGCTGCTGCCCCAGTAACTGTTCCTCTCATAGAGGCTTTGCAATGCCTTTCGCCGACCAGGTTGCCCTTTACCTGGAACCTCCTCGTTCATATACTTGGAACGTACCGGCATGGGTTCCACAGGCACACTACACGGAGGGATGTTGAAGCAACAGAACCCCTGGTGGAGTGAAAAGGGAGCAAGGGAGTGCACTGCGTCAGCTTGAGTTGTTGTTGACTTGAAGTTTCAAGAGTGAGAGGCCAAGTTTTGGAGAGACTGGAGGGGTTGAAAAGTTTGCAAAACATACCATGCAGTGGGCTGCCCCAAAGCACTAGCTTGATGATAATTCCAGCTGAAGCGGGAAAGCAAGAGCTAAGTGTGCAAAGAAAGTCCAAGTATCACAATGCAGAAATCACCAGTCCTGCCCCACCAGTCCTGCCTCAATCAGTGGAACATAGTGGAACTCCAAGGGCAGCCACATCCTACAAGTCCGTAACTTAAAAATAGACCTCATGGGAATCACCAGATTATGCTCGGTCCTGCTTTGTTGCGATGCAAAAAAATGTTGAGTCGGGCCTCAGCCGAACATTCAAGAGGGGTTCCACTTGCGCAACACAAACTGGCACTGCAATGCAACTGCAAAGCTGCACAGTGCTGCTTCACTTTTTGCCCACCAGCTGAAACGAAGAATGATGTTTCCTTAGTGGCTGTAACCCGCACTGAATCTGTTGAAATTGGTCCCCAGTGCGTATGAGCAAATGAGAGTGCGCATGCTCCTTCACTTTTTTGGTGCCTTACATACTGTAACATATTGTAACTATGTCATGCATAGTCTAAGGTGCGTAAACTATCTAGTCGTGCGAACCACCTGAACGCACCTGAACACCCGACGAGCCCAGCAAACCCCGGCGAACCCCGGCGAACCCCGGCGAACCCGGCGAACCCGGCGAACCCCGGCAAACCCGGCGAACCCCGGCGAACCCCGGCAAACCCGGCGAACCCCGGCAAACCCGGCGAACCCCGGCAAACCCCGGCAAATCTAAGCATAACATGTTTGGAGCCAAGGTTCCAGACCGAGCAGATGATTGATCATCACATCGTAGAGATCTCACACCTTCCAAAGTTCAATAGCTTCTACTGCAAGCTTGTGTCATGTTTTGGAAGCACGCTCACTGTTCAAATCTAAATGTCATTGGCTGTCATCATGTTGTGACACCATCAATAGTGCACTGTGAAGGAAACAATAACGTCTCAATGAAAAGAAAACATCGAGTAGCAGCCTGATGGGACAAAGCTTCATGATGGGCTGGATCGCCAGCACTGTGAACTGTGATGTCAGGTCCTCGGCAATAAGTGAGACTCATTTTTGACCACAAGATGGAAAGCAAGTGATGAGTTGTTCATTCAGCTGATGCACCTCGCTGGCCGACGCACCTCGCCCCACCCAAAGATGAGCTGGCACTGGTCTGTTTAAGCCACAGCCAGACACAATGAAAGAAGTGTGCAAGCATGTGCAAGCTACATTTGTCAACTCAAAGTGTTTCCAAACTATCTACACACGACATTGTATTTTTCTTTTCACTTCACACAGCACCAATGCTTTCTTGCACGGCTGCGTTCATTGCGCTCTTCAGCCTGGCCCTAAGCGGACTTGAGTTCCCTCCCATGGGCGCATAACGAGCCAAAGGTGATATACAGTATCATCAAATATGTTTATAACACTGTTCATGACTTTATGGAAAGTCTTCATTGGAGATCGACTTTAGAGGCATTGAGGAACACCCAGGAACTCATTCCCTAAAATCCAGGTGCGCCATCACACCAATCTCAAAGCTTCGTTGGTCTTCATGGCCAGTTCTGCTGAGCTCCGGTTCTTGATGAAATAGAGAGGTTTGCCTAAGAGCAATGAGACAAGGGCCTGTCCGATGAATGTTGGAACTTCAATTGCTCGAGGGTTGCTGGCACATGGCTGCTTTGCAGTCAAGCTGCGAGGTGTTAACTCCTTAAATCACAACAGTGACTGTCATTGAGGCTGTGGAACGGTTGAACTATTGTTGAATTCATTGTGTTTTGCAGCACAGGCGCATTAGCCTCCTTCAGATAGGCTACACGCCACACAGGGCAGAGCATTCTTGAAGCTGCCAACTCCTGGTGATAAAGAGAAGTATCACATCATTTCAATTTGTTGATTAATCAAAGAGGTTCGTGCACACCTTCTCAGTGAAGACATTAGCCAGCGAAGCCCACTTCAAAGTACTTGTCAATGACGGAGGGGACCACTGGAAGTATATTGGTGTCGGCTTCGGCTCAACCACAAAGAAATCTGAACCTGGGCTAAGGCCAGGACTTGAAAGATGCTCACACTTGTGCAAATCATAGCAAGTCTCAGAAGAATCCTAAGGCTGTGGCTGTCAGCTTTTGCTGAGCCATCACCGCAGGCAGGTGCACGAGAGCACTGGTGACCGTTGAGGGTCACATCAATCACTTCTTCCTCTTCCATCTCATGTAAGAGTTCCCTGATGGTGGAAACTTCAGAATCTTTTGTGCCCTTTCCAGATTCATTGGGCATTTCCAATACAACTCGTTCCATGTCGCTTGTCCAAGCACATGTCTTCAGGTAGTCACCTTCACCTGCATGTCCAAGGTTGTAGGTAGT